TGTGTGTGTGTGTGTGTGTGTGTGTGTGTGTGTGTGTGTGTGTGTGTGTGTGTGTTAATATCTTAATTTAGTACAGTTGTGCTTCTTGGGCTAAAATTTTCAGCCACTCAAAAATTGAAAAGAAACTTTTACATGGTACTTTTGAGGTCTTGAATAAAATCATAACGTTCTCTAAACACTAGTGCCGAGTAAATCTGGTACTTAATTTTTATAATAATTTATTGAAGAAATAAAAAAATAAAACTTAATTTCTTGGTGTTTTCTTAATGTGGAATGAAACAAATATAAATTGAATGCAATCATTCATATTAATTGGTTTACATAGAAATTTTATATCACTGTATTTTTTTAAAATACATCACCGTGTAGGTGAACCAATATTGGCTCAAATAATTAAAAAAAAAGAAGGTGAAACAATGGACGACATGTACAAGGGTGATACAACAATATATCAAACTTAAAAAAAACAACAAATGTTGAAAAAAATGTGAAAAAACATCAAAATATTATAGTTTCAACACAGTAAATCTATATTAGGTGTGTGACTCATAATTACAATGGATGACATGTATAAGGGTGATATAACAATTTATCCAACTTTAAAAAAACACACACACATTCAAAATGGAAAAAACATCAAAAATATTATAGTTTCAACACAGTAAATCTATATTAGGTGTGTGACTCATAATTACAATGGATGACATGTATAAGGGTGATATAACAATTTATCCAACTTTAAAAAAAACACACACACACATTCAAAATGGAAAAAAACATCAAAAATATTATAGTTTCAACACAGTAAATTGATATTAGGTGTGTGACTCATAATGATTTCTATTATATATTTAATATAATATCAGTACTACTTAATAAATTCTTATAATGAGTTTCAAATTGGGTGGATTTCCAGATTTTTTATCTCTGTTCAATGAATGAACTATGCCAAGAAAGTTCACTTTAAACTTTCAGCAGTTTTACAATATAATGCCATCTTTAACAGCAACTAGAATTACTTCCAGGAATCACACGAGGTAAAATAATATCCTACCTTGTTAGTCATTTCAGATAATGATAGAAAAAAAGGGATAGTGAAAGTATATAAAATGTAGGCAGTGCTCAAGCAATATTTAAAAAAAACAATTCAAATGTTAGGTGTTTACCAAGTTTTAATTTCTTATTTTGATCTACATATTAAAAAAAAGGTAGTTTGCTTTAGTCAGAAGTATTTTATAAAGTAAACACATTACTTTCAAAATTCAGTTTAAAAAATACACAAAAGCATTTATTACACTACAACTTGAAATATGTGGGCTTCTTAAAATCAGTAAGTAACACATTCTTAACTAGTCAATTATGAACTTCTAAAGAAAAGTTACTGATGATAACCTTTGTCACTGTTCAAACCATCTTCAATCCACAAAGACAGAAAATGTCTAAAAAATAAGGTAGGAACACCAAAAATCAAGAATACATTGATAATAAAACATATCTTCTCTATGATGTTTATAAATATTGGTTACATTTGACTCCTAAAAGGACATGCTGAACAAACTGATTCTAACAGCATGCTTTAAATAAAACTAAACCTTTCACATAGATACAAGAAACTGTTGAAGATTTAACTACATTTTAGAACCCAAGACATGAAACAAAGCAAAAACCTTTCAAACCACATACTCTAACAACACTATGTAAACTTCAAAGATCAGGGAAACTTTCAAAATTCAGACACTCTCTGAATAATGAATAAGAAAAAATAAAACAAAAAATAACCTTAAAGAACATCATTTTGCCACATTTTTTGCAAGAATCAGATTCTGACCAATTTGAAAGTTTTTCAAAATATCAAAAGACACCAAAAAAACATCAAGAAGTAAATCACAATAATATTCAAGTTGGTTTAGCAGACACCAAGAACTTCTCTAAGTTAACAGTATAGATACCTGTTATAAAGAATTTCATTAAGTGATGTTAAACTTAGTGTCAAACTTCCCAACTAATTACAAAATTTGACATCTGCTTATCCTTTTGTGATTACAGTTTATTTTATTCTGTCTTTATATCAGTGTCTTCCTGTTCCATATTAAAAAGCTGTTTCATTATAATGTCATAAGTACAATTACTTGATGTGTCTGTGTGACAAACAAAAGCACTTTATCTACTTAACACACCTTCTGGAATGTACATATTGCTGAAAGTATGCATAAATAAAAAAAACACTGAAAGTAGAGAACAATCCACATAATATAAAACCCTGCACTGTTGCATACTGTATATTCCCGATATTAGCAACAAAATAGCCAACATTTGGAAAAAACTACAACAAAACATTACATTCCAATAAACACTAAATTCATTCAAAAACCAGATACAGAACTCAAATCCATACTATATAAAAACTACGCTGACAAACAAAACACCAATATTATTTATAAAATACAATGCAACATCTGCCATTACTTCTATATCGGAGAAACAAGCCAAAAAATTAAAACCAGATTCAAACCAAAATAAAGGAACACCTTTATACCTATATTAATTAATCAATTAACATCTAATTGCTAAGCCCCTACAATCTCGTATACCCGTTTATACTCTCTTCCCCAAAACATTTGCCCAGTAACAGTCAGTTTCAAACTGTCTTTGTTAACCTGAAGATGACTTAAGAAGGTTGAAACATTGTTCTTGTACTTTATTTTAAGTAAAGTTGTTAATACCCATAACAGCCATCTCTACTATACATTTTTACTTCAAGTGGGTTTCTGATCATCATGAAGTACTTTTCAGTTTGTCTAAATGTATGGAGCAATAAATAATACATTCCTTACTGTTCAATTATGAATTAATTTCTAAATTAATTACTAGTAAATAGGAAACAGATTTTCACAGACTGAGCACAAAGGTAGAAATTATCTATACAAAAATGAAGAGGTAAAATTAGTTTTTCATTTTCTGAAATTCAAAAGCTTGGTGGATGGACTTTAAGCACTCACCAAAACATCTTCATAATCATCGTCATCTTCATTTTCTTCATCATCTTCATTTTCATCATCATCAGGATCAGGCAGTTCTTCCTCATCTTCCAGATCTGCTAGTAGCGTAGTAGCACGGCAACTTTCCAAGAAATCTTGTTCACTTTCACTGGAAGTAGAGGTCAGGCTCATTGTTAGCCCCTGGCCAAAGGAGTTTGCCCCTGTTGCTGCAGAAGTGGCACTTCCAGTCTGACTTCCTGAGAGGGTGGATGCTGTAGTGGTGGTTGTCAAACTTGGAAAACTCTGAGCTGTACTTAGTAGCCCTCCTGAATAATGCAGTTCATTAAGTTAATTTAACCCCTAAAGTTTCTCATAATTCCAATAAATAATATCACTACAGAAGTTTTAGTTTACCAGAGAAGATGAATTTAAACAATAACCTCATCCTTTTGGGTGCTGAATCAATTCTAAAGCTTAAATTTTTCCTTTTTCTAATTGGACAAATAAAACTTAAATACATCTACATATAATACTGTTCAGACTTAACAGTTACTCTGAAGTAGCATAGACTGTCTCTGGAACAAAGGACATACATATTGGAGATGATAAAACAGACATGACTTACCAAAAAAATCACATAAACAAGTCAATCAGGACAACTGTTATTATGTATGCAACTCTACACAACTGTTCTTTACTTTAGGGAAGTATAGATAATAATGTGGTTTATCTTGTTTTAATATTTTCTGAATATAGCCTGATTTGTTCAAATACATCCCCACATTAAACAGCAACAAAGGAAGGCAATATATCAAGCTGATACTCTCTCACAAGTTTGAGTGACTGAGATACTGCATATGCATTACAATACCAGCTAAAACATCCTTTCATAAATGATATAAATACAGTAACCACAGCCAGAATCTTCCTTAAAAACATAACTGAAAAGGCATACTTAAGTATTCTTAAGGTAACTGTTTGTGTGCATGTGCAATAAAAACACAATAGCATTTTACATAAAATGTGTTCATAAGGAAGAACATAATATTACTGAGTGGAAGTGATTAACAATTACATGCTATATATACATAACCACAACTTGCATACTCCTACCACATACAGGACAATTATTAACGTTCTGGGAAGTGTACACTACTGTTACAAAACACAATTAAGTCTCCTGTACAGAAGGTATCCAAGATGAAATATAGTAATGCCTTTTACCCTTATTTATTTTAATACCTCACAAATCATGTGTCTGGTTTAAATGAATTCTAAAAAAATGACATAGAAGGATGTCTCCTGTGTACAAAGTATCCAAGGTGAAATATAGTAATGCCTATAACCCTTATTTATTTTAATGCCTCACAAATCATGTCTGGTTTAAAATGAATTCTAAAAAAATGACATAGAAGGTTGTCTCCTGTGCAAAAGGTATCCAAGTGAAATATAGTAATGCCTTTAACCCTTATTTATTTTAATAATTTACAAATCATGTGTCTGGTTTAAATGAATTAAAAAAAAATGAGATAGAAGGATGTCATGGCTGATAACAGATATGTTTTTGAAGTCTGAAAATCTGAGGCATGTACTTTTAGGTGTTGTAATGCTGTGGCTATTATATTGATGTCCAACATCAAATTGCACTCCATGTATTTAGTTATTTTCTGCTATAAAACTACTAAACACACATTTTTTTTTCTTTGACCACTACACTTGTTATTTGCTTTTCTAATAAAAACAAAATTTCTTTAGTTTGTTACTCTAACATGTTCAACTTTCAAGCACAAAATATGGCTCAAAGATGCACAGTTTCTAATGAAGTACAAAGGGCTAGAATAAGCAAGAACATTTTATGTAAAAATGAAAGTATCACAAACTGGAGTCCAAAAAGATAATCAAAAGATATATTGAAATCACTGATGACAAGAGCAGGCCTGGAAGACAACCAACACTTTCCAGATGAGTACTTTAGGCTTAATTCACTCAGAAACAGCCCTAAATCTAGCAGCTACTTTAATGCAGAACTCCAACAAACCACTGGTGCTACAGCTGACCCTTCCCTTCAATAATGTGATGTAAATTGTATCAAGAAAAGCTAGAAAGGTGCACTGAGGCAAGAAAACCTTTGTTCTCAAAAAGGACCAAGTTTGCAAAACCAGAAAAATTAGGCAAACATTTGTGGAGAAGAATATTTTGGTCTGATGAGTTAAAGTTTCAGATTTTTGAAACCAGTTTTGTGGGAGCAATTTCATTTTCTAACATAGAAACATGATCCCCAACATAGAGCAAACACTAAATCACTATTTTAACAGAAAGGATGCAGAAAGAACCATTACATGCTAAATGTGGCTTCCACAAAGTCAAGACCTCAGTATTGTTGAGTATGTGTGGGACTACCTTAATTGAGAAAAGATGCAGAGGCAGCCAAAATCAAAGGAGGAATTCTGGGTAGTACTTCAAGGTGCCTGGAATTTAATTCTCACCGAGTATCTCCACGAGACTGCAGAAAGCATTCTTCATCAACTGCAGGAATTGATGTCAGCAACAAAGGTGATCACACAAAATACTTTTAATTTGTTTTATATGCATTTGTTTTTCTTCAAACATTATAAAATTCTGAAATACCTGCACTGAAAGGAACTCAAGTGTGTTTTGAATTTAAAATACACAGTAAGAGCTGGCCATGAGAGGTGAACAATCGTTCACATGCACCTCATACTTACTAAAAATACTTCCAGGGGAGAATTTTGTTATTTGTCTGCAAAATAAATAAAATTCTAGTCTGGTATATCAACAGCAACTACTTGTAACATGAATGCTCCAGAAGCCATTACATCCTGAACACTGTAAGTACTCTCCTATTTTGTTTTTATGTACATGCAAGTGTTAAATCAATCAATGTGATCAACATGGTAACAAAAGAAAAATTGGAAGCTTTTTTTACGTTCTTAAAAAGGGAGACAGAAATAGATGAAAATCCTGCAATAAAAGAAAAACAAAATCCACCCTTCAAAAAACACTACATGCCGCAATGCAACTAAAAGTTTTGTGCTCACAACTCAGGAGCTATCAACGTCCACCCAAGGTGCCAAAGTAATCATTAACTGTACTTACTTTTCCCATAACAAAAATACTAAATAAATTAACAAATCTTAAGTTGTCAATGTTTTTAAGTTTATTAATTTAATAGTCAAGCCATTAATATCCATTCAAGTTTAACTCACTATTGGTACAAATGATCCTTGATTCTATTCTGTCACTACACGCATGCCACATTAGTGAAGGTTTATTTTTGACTTTAAAATAGATCACATGATCTTAGCTCCATCACTGATGTATTACTGACTTACTTTCCACCTCTGCTGACTAGAAAGCACTAACATTAATTCATAAAATTGGTAGTAGTAAAAATGGTAAAATTTGATTTGCATAAACATGTTTTATTGAATCAATCATATGCATAACAGTGACAGCAATTCAAAATGGGCCATGATTTATACATGTTGAAATATTCTGGATAATCTAAATAGAATGAATTTGTCTTAAATTATTGATCTATTCATATATTATATTTCAAAATGCACTACTTCAAATGAATGATTCCAACAGCATAATGACATGCAGCACTTTTCACTCGTATGTTCAGACTCAAGAATCAAAAGTCAGGCTGTCACACAAACAATAGTCCAAACCAATATGTATGTTGAATTCCATGACTTGTGATGCTTGAAGTGCCAATACTAATAGAAAATCTCTGGGCTATTGTATTTGCACCAATTTTATGAGCTGTCAATTCCTGTTTGTACCAATTTTATCATGTTCACGATTTTTCATCAAAAATTATATTGCATACCATATCACATAATGTGCCAAGTTAACACAACTGAATTTTGGAGTGATAAATCCTTTCAAGTAAGATTTAACTTTATGTTTATTTGAGTTCACATTTTATGAGGTTGTTTTCCATCACTTTTCTGAAACTAGCAAACAGATGAAAAAGTGTTCACATTTTTGTATTAGTTTGAGGAGTAACAATATACCTATTCATATGTGGGAAATTTAAAAACTCATAATTCTAATGCTTTTGATTACATTCAACCTACACTTGCTCATATACAACACTGTGTATCTCACTCATCACCATGTAGTGTTGGTCATTAGCAAAATGAAGGGGAGAAACTAATCACTCTAAAAAAAGTCCTACACACTAGCAAAGGGAAATATGTGTATGTTGGTTTTCATATCAAGAACAGCACAACTTTCATTTCTTCAAATTATAAATAAACTGTAAATTCATAAGTGACATATTCAGCACAAAGCAAAAAAACTGAAGCAAAATTTGTCTATTTACATAACTTTATACTTATGTAACCAAGCAACTACAATTAATGAAAACTGCATTCAATATAAAGGGAATATATAAAAACACAAGCCAGCACAAGTGCACCTCAAGGATACAATTGTCTGAGAAGTGCCCAGCATACCATATGAGAAATGTGTTGCAGTTGTTATCATTGGATGCAATACATTCTGGATGCTGGAAAAGCACATATTGAACAGTTGCCATGATTAATCAGACCATTAGGTCACAGCAGCACCCCAGCAACAATTGCATCGGCAAGATACCATAACATTCTTTCGCAGTTTCATCTTCCTATGCCATACAGTTTGGGAGATATGATGCAATGAACTACAAAACTATTTATAATAACCTTGTATATAATTATGAAACCTCTGCCTACTCCTGCTTAATCAAATTTTTGAGATAAAGTATATTTAATAACTTATTATTAACCAGGCAACAAAGTTCATTATTATTAATTTTTTATAACTCAAATTAAACATACATTTTGCCATGACATAATACCTTCTTCTTAAGTGTTTAGTAGCAGTTTTCATTTCTGAAGATTATACAGTTATCTTTGTATCAAATACTTCAACTGTATATCTTACCTTCTGGTCATATTTTGACTAATCTATACTCCTATTGGACAATTCACACATACAAGGCTTTCAATGTGAACTTGAAATCTGCTTTTTATCTCTTAACACACTCTCCTGTCTCATAAATATACAATTTACACCTTGCTTAAAGATATAGCAATTTAGCACTTAATCTACATCACTATAAAAATGAGCTTCTGGGTCATACCAACAATTATAAAAAGAAAATGGGAAAATTGTGCTACAAATAAGCATTAACTATTCGTGTTTTAGTTTCATCTATTACATTACTACATGCTAGAAACTACATACTGAAAATTAGGAAAAGCATGGAACAATACAGACTAAAAGCACACAAACACTAGACTCCTCGATCAACTCAGAATAAGGAATAACAGAATCTTCAATTTATCTGGAGGAGAAAATATCTTCACAATAAATAAATTACCATTAACATATCAGTATGTGGTCCCACTGCACATACTACATTGATATAACATGTAAAAACAAAAGTAGGTGTTATGGTTGAACATGTAGACTGCGAGAAAACGTGTTAAAAAACACACGATTTGAAAGGCTAGCTTGACTACTGAATTAATTATTTTAATATGTTTTCTAAACTTCCTTCTGTATCAACAAATCCTCACACAAATCCTCATGGTGTTTTTATGTTTAAGTTGTTCATTGTTAGTACGTGTTATTCATGATGGATTGAAAAAACAAAAGCCTGTAACATCAGTAATTCAAGATTTCTTTGGTATTAATTTATTTTTTTCATATTTCTTATAACACTTTGATTTCCAACATATGAAATATTTTAATATCTGCAAACAGGGCATCTGGTGTCACTATCATCACAAGTTTTCTTCAATTTCTTGCCACATAATAAATGTTGTAATGTCTGTTTTTCAGGATTATAGTGAATTTATTTTCACTTAGTTGTGCATGATCACACTGTAACAACACTGACAAGAACCTTTTATAGTTTCATTGCACAAAAAGGACAATTATGTTTAAACAAAGAATTAGTTTATTTAATAAATAGTGGATTAAATTCAGATATTCTATTTCTTTGTAGCAATGATATATTCTTTTCTTTAACAACAATGATATTTAAATGAATTAGTTTACTGAGTAATAAATTTTTGCTAGTACAGTAAGGGGTGCTGCATGATCAATCACAGTTGAGAAAAGAGTACAAGACTGTACAGGAAATTAGTTAAAAGTTAATAGCCTAAAAATATTCTCAAACCTACATCCAATCCACAGGCTATCTGCTCATAAAATTTAAATCACGTGTTCACTTCACTGCAAATTTGAATCTTTTTAAAAATTAATCAGCTGTATGGGAACATTTCAATTACTGGGAAGACCATCATAATGAATATGTGTGCATACATTTTGAAGCAGTGCTGAAATTTAGCAACAATACTACACACAAGCAAAACCATTTAAAACTTCTCCACAGAGCTAAATTTAGGGAGATGTGTCAAAGCACTATGGTTAAAAGTCCAATGGCTTTTACTGAATCACCATCTTCATTACAATCATCAAGTACCAGCAATATTAGTTACAGCACTGCAAGTTCAACATCTGTACAACAATCACTGAAAAAGTTACATAAAGCCAAGTATCCTAAGGAAAACATGAAGTAGAAAAAGGTAACAGAGGTATTAGTAAACTACATAGCTAAGGGTATGCATCCATTATGAGCTGTGGAAAAGCCTGACTTTGCAATGTTGCTTGAATCTCTTGATCTGAAATAGAAAGCATCATGAAGGAAAGAATTAAATGGGAATCTTATCCAAAAACTGTACACCAGCATTCAAAGGTTTTTATGGATCAGCTTTCTAAGACAAGTGATGTGGTTCATTAACCTTGCAATGTGTCCATGATTTCATAAAAATATTTAATAAACATATGATTTATAGAATAAAAAATATATTTTTTGTAAAATTAAATATATATAAGAATTACAACATTTAATTTTGGAATACAGCTTTTCATACCAAATTTTTTTTTTCAAAACAAAAAACATCACTAGGTTTTGGAGTTCATGAAAAAGTTTTAAATGAAAACGTGTCTTTTGGTTTACTAAAGTTTGAAAACGATTGCTCTAGAGCAAATGACCAATATCTTAGTTTGACTGTTCATTTCATAAACCAACAGGGTTTTTGAAAAGCCATATTCTTCAACACCTTGAACTTCTATCACATCACGATGCTGAAGTTATAACTCAGGCTGTTACTCAAGTTCCTAGAAAGTTGGAATATCTTGAATAAGGTTGAAGTAATTATGTCAGACAATGCTTCTAACTGCGTGAAAGCTGTTAGTAACATTGATCAAAAGTTAATACCTCAGTTATCAAGAAAGGACTAACAACAGGAATGGACCAAATGATCACACACTGTTTTAAGTAGGTCGAGCATTACCAAAGTGCTATCACCAAATGTTATCTGGTAAACTAGCAAAAACAACTGGGTTTACCAGAACACAAGTTGATTCTCCATTGCAAGACTAGATGGAAGAGCATTTATGCCATGAAGAAGAGAATTGTAGAGCAACAACAACCCATATGCAGCACTAATGGAGTTGGATAAACCAGAGAAAAGAATTAAGGCTATGTGTAATAGTAAATTCTGATTAAGAAGTTAGCACACAGGATCACTTACAAAAGTTGTAATGGTTTTAAAATGAATCCCAAAATTCGAGCTCTTTCAAGTAGTTCACTAATGGGATAAGGTAAGCTTATACATTTTATAGATGGGTTGAATGGGTAACAAAGAAAATTTCATTAGAAGTTTAACAAAGTAACAAATGTACAAAGTTTGAAGAAGGTTTTGTGATCATGAGGTACAAGTAGTTTACCTAGACACAGGAAGATATACATAATATGAAACAAAAAAGTCACATGACTAGAGACTTATTAAGGTTTAATAAAGGAATCTAGTTGATGTCTAGTTTATTGTTTAAAATTATAGTGATTTTGCTTTTCAATAGATATACTATGGTTTTATTAAGTTGTAATGTTTGTAAACATGTTTTTTTATTATGTTTAACAAATAAGATCAGTTAAGTTTACTGTCTGGCAACATGGCAAGTATAGTAGGTGAGTGCAAAATATTCTAATGACTGAAATCTTTACTGAATATCATGTTTATGTTATTCAAGCAACACACAATTGTGGTTTTTAAAAAATAAAAACAATATTTATCTTATTGGTGAATGGTGATAATAAAAGTTAAATATGTCTCCGTTATTATATTTAGAGTAGATTAGTGCAGGATTACTACATACTTTGAAAAGAAACATAATGGTGACTGTATAGTGGTGATGTATAGTTAACAATAAAGATTCATTCACCAATCATGTTTATGCAAAACAAAATTCAGCAAAAATAAAATAAGTTATGAATATAACTTACAGCCACCTTTTTTTTATTCTTATACAGATGTGCTGGTATACGGTGTGTGTTAATCGATTAACAAGCCTGTAGATTATTCAATCAGCAAATTCCACTAATCACTCAGCTCTAATGTTATCTAAGGCATGTAGTTGTGTAGAGTTCAAAATTAAAATTTATACAAAGTACCTACTATGAAATGGAAGCTTAGGTTTCTAACCTATGCTACCATATAGAATGGTTAGGTAACTCAAACTTTTTTTTACCCTTTTTTGAGAAATGTTTTTCCAGAACTATTTATATTTTGTTCCCTATAAATCAAACATTTTTCAACAATATACTTTGACCATTTTTTGTGTGAGTTTGTTCTAACAATTAATTTGTTCTTTCATACTCCAAATCTTAACATGTAGGTAAAGTAACACTTTGTTTTACGAAGTCAACTTTAACTCATACAAATATGAATTAGTTAACTGTAGATCAAAATATATTTTGTGTTTTCCTTTTGAAATAATTACTACATAATTTTTCTCAGTTTTAACAAAATGTGTGTTATTCTAAGTAAACATATCTTTTCCTCTGCAGAACCATCCATAAGAAAACTTTCCATTAGTTTATCTAAAGTTGCAGGATAAAACAAAGGGACACACATCTACATGTAAAATATAATTTGTAATGTATATTTTGATTGTTTGAAATTAATACTTTACTTGAGAACATGTATCACTGGGTGTCATGAAAGACTTATGAAAAAGCCATGCAGAAAAACATGTTGCAGTCATAAATGAAATACAATAGCACAACATAAGGTTGCTTACAGCAAATTCTATAAATATCAAAATGCCTTTTATCACTCCAAAACAAGCTGTGTTAAAACAAAATACTCAGTTTACACAGTTTTCTGCATATGTTATACTCTAAGTAATCTAAATCATCAACACCAAGCATCTGTAAGGCATGATAAATTTTGACTTTGAAACTTAAAATAATGAGGATCCATTAAATGCATGCAAAGTAAAAGATGTTTGTTAAATAAGAAAGGAAAGGGCATACCTGAAAGTGCATGGTTTCTGAGGTGTGAATCAGTGTCTAGTGGCAAGTCTCCCAACAAATCAGCAAGCACCTCTAAGAACAAGAACAGGCCACACACCATCAGCACACTACTATCACATGCAAAACAAGAGATTGTGAACAGGAAGAGAAGTGGTGGTGGTGAATGTTTTTTTTTAATGGATTCATAACTATTTTCCCCCCCCTTGAGGTAAAAGACTAAAAAATATTTAATTTGTATATACACATGGCTGCAAAGTGGGAAGAAAATTATTTGAAGAATGTTCCTTTCTAAAATATGACAACATACCTTTCGGCACCTGGGGTTTCCTGTTAATACACTAAAAACAGATCACAGTGCTGGTATATACAAAACTTTAAACCATCAGATCAAAAATTATAGATTTTTTATTTCTACAAAAGCTTTATTTTATTTAACATACTATTACTGGAAGTTTTGTTTTTCATTTTCTTATTCTGTTTTATACCTTGACGTTTATTGATATACAAATATCACGCATTCCCATGTTCTTTCATGCTTCTTTAATAAACATTAAAATAACTTTAGAAAAATAATTATAAAAAAAAACTTCTTGGCTAAATGTCCAATTATCACATTTAACTAATTTATTAGTTGACAAGAATATCCTAAATATTGAACATGTTTAAATCATTCTTGTCAGCAGTGTTTTTACAATAAATCTGTAGGTACATTTAAACATGTTCAATATTTAGGATATTCTTGTCATACTAATAATTTAGTTAAATGTGATAATTGGACATTTAGCCAAGAAGTTTTTTTTTATAATTATTTTTCTAAAGTTATTGTAATGTTTATTAAAGAAGCATGAAAGAAAATTGGAATGCGTGATATTTGTATATCAATAAATGTCAAGGTATAAAACAGAATAAGAATAAACTTACTGTCATGAAGTCTAACTTCACTTTCACTAACTTACTTGCTCTCTGTATCTGTACATATTTATAACATGCATCAGAAAAATCTAGAAATGTCTAGCCCTCTAGTAACAACATTAAACATAATGAGAAAAATTTATAAACTTCAAGTAAGATGATGGCAGCAATATTACAACACCCTAGTACAACAATTAAACTACATTCACTACATGCAACTCAAATAGTTAAGTAACAAAAACTTGTCATAACTACTATTTTTAAAATAATTAACTTTTAACACTCTTGTTAATGTAAACTAAAAAATCATTAAATATTGAATCACTAAATAAACTAAATGATAACTCTTAAACTAAACATTCTTATATATCCAACAAGGATAAACCAGGTATATACGGTAAAATTAAACCCTTTTTTAGTTTTTCAAAATACTTTAACCAAATTGCTGTTATCACACTTCTGTTTTGTGAACTTCTTAACTGCTCTATCAGCGATATCAGGGTAAAAACATTCATCAGCTGTTACATGTTTCAACAACAGTATTTCATTATGTAATTCTTGTTCAGAACATAAATTTGTAGCTCCATATACAAAAAAATAAACAACCAATATTGTTCGAGCTTTTTTCATGACAAGATTAATGATGTGGTTGGACATTCACAGAAAAAGGTCTCGACAAATTGTACTCTGTAGCTTAATTATTAAATAAAACTAAGGACAGATTGAAAACAATGGAAAAAACAAAACAGGTATTTATAAAATAATTTGTTTACATGGAATCATAAACAAAGATCTGGCTAAAAGGAACCTAAAATACAGTGAATGAATATATGCAAAATGTTCAAAATAAAAAAACAACAGATATTTCACAATTAGCCAAATATGTCCGAATAACACAACACATGATCCAGTTGGACAAATTATGCTGTTAGTTCAAGCTAAAAATGATAATACCAGAAATATTTTAAAAGCATTGAAAATAATTAAATTAATGCAAAATAATAATGCATCAAAAAGAATGAGGGATTCGCAGAACAAAATTTTTGTGGATGATGTGATATCCTGTGAAAACACGTAAATTAAGATATCACACAAAATTATAAATAGTGGAATAGTCTTGTGACCTACACTTCTGAAGATGACGTGTTACATAATGTCAAAACACATCAACCATACAGACTGTAGATCAGTCTCAAATAAAGATAATGTTCATTGAGGCTGTTGTTTTTAACTGTATTTAAATATTTATGATTTGAAACAAGTGTCCAAAAAGACATTTCTAAAATTATGATGTTATTCTGTTAATTAAAGAATTTGATAATCTACCATACGTTTTATGTAAAATAACTATAATTGTTAAACGGAACTCATGATTTTGTCAATAATAAGGAGAATTACTCTGGATGAAAGTCTGCTTACAAATCACTTTAAGGTTCAGTGCATTTTAGTTTACTGCTGATGGCCAGCTAAGTATGTGGAGAGATTTAAAAATATTATGTTTATTACAATACGTAAGAATTCCTTGACAGATGTGTTGACAACGATCTTAAACCAAACTGAATTTTTTCTTTATTCTAGGCAGTTGAGATGATACTTTTGTTTAGCAACATGATTATTTAAGTATGAGTCACAAAAAATTTAGAGGATTCACATGAAAGCCTACCCTAAAAAAAGTTTCTTTTCTTAAACTAAATAAGTTATTTTTTTGTTTTTTGAGAATTACAATTTTAAAGCTTCAGAATGAGAAAAAATCTTTTTCAAAATGGTTTAGAAAATTCAGTCAGTAACACCTTAAATATTATATTTAATAACTACATACCCTAGTCTTCTATACAATCAAATCATACAATAGCTTAAGCCAAGGCCGCATGTAGCAAGCATCTTTAGTCACAGAAAAACAAAATGAAATAACTCCATTTAGAAAAATGATCCCACAATTTGGAGAATCTAGAATACACAATTCAACAGTTTGGACCTTACTTCAGACATAAAAGTATAGATATTTTAACTGAAATGATGACAAAAGCCATGATATCATAGTGTTATTTACAGTTCTTTGGGAAGTTCTTTTGAATCTAAGACCTGCTCTTGTCATTAAATTACATTCTTTCAAATTCATAAAGCTGTGTGATAGTTCATATTTTGTGTGCATCAGAAACTGATACTGAACAGTATTCTATTTGTATATTCACATATTTTTGAAAATTATTTCACTCAAAAATTCCAATTTATCACCAATTTTACAACTAATACTATTTCCAGCCACTTATGCAACCATGCTTTTAACAATAAAAACGTATTAATATAATAATGTACCCAACACAGTTCACCACCATTGTGTATGATTGAAAGGTTTAAAGAAAAGTGGAGCAACAGAATAAATACCAGAGAGTCAGCAAGATAGTGCAGTGGCTATCCAATATATATTGTAAAATACGTGCCTGCAATAACAAAATCATTATGTGAGAGTAATTATGTGGTCAGCTAATAAACTTGCATATACCTACAACTGGAGTGTATTAAGCACAAATTAACAAATTATCACACTAAGGCTAACTCAAGGTATAGCTTCAATTTTATCAACATTTCTAGTGATGATAATTCTGTCAACGTTTACTGCATAAAATACTGTAATTTGTAGGAATGATAACTGTATTGTTTAAAACTGATCTGTAAGGATCCTTTTGAAAACTTTCATAATTCTCACTTATAAGTTGTATGACTAAAATTGGTTTTACTTATTAATCAAATGTAAAAAGTTGAGATTCTACAGACATTGTACCTGATCAAAAACAACTTGTTATTGACAAAAACTATGCTTATTGATCAAAGTGGTAGTACAAATATACAAATTAGTTGCTAGTCATAATAAGCTAATTTTATTAATGGGTTTCTTTTTATTTGATCTTAAATATTTCATAAAGAAAAAATTAGAACTGAGATAAATTGCAAGCTTTCTTTTTTGTCAAAAAATGCTAACTTTTACACACGTCTGCTCCACTAAGAATATCTCACAATAAGACATACCCGGAAAGTTTGAAGAGAGTGCTAGCCGCACCAGACTGCTGACATTGGGACCTCGAGAAAAAATTGAAGAACCTGCACTAATGTTGCTTGCATTTCCACTAGCTCTTCGTCGAGCAACTGCAGCAAATGTTTCCAAAAGTCCAACTGTTGAGTCATTTGCATTAGTTGTAGCTGAAAGGTTTGGAACACTAACACTCATTGCATTGTTAGCATTATTTCTGCCACTATGGGTTTGCCCTTCAGCAGTTGCTCCTCGTTTAGTGTGTATGTTTTTCAAATATTCTTCTGTATTACTATTAGACAGTTCATTCACTTGGCCTAGCTCCACATCATCTAATCCAAAAGTATCTTCAGCCTCTTCCCGAGTTGGAGAGAGCCCAACTCCCATGCTGGGAATATCACGAGCATGAACAACAACAGCCTCAGCTGCTGTTACAGAAACAGATGATACAATTTTGGATGGTTCAATTGCAGCAAATATAGTAGCTTCAGCACTGGCTCGAGTCAGCATATTCTCTGCTATTACTTCTGCTGCTTGCTGAAGTATTCAATACAAAATTTGTTTTATAAATTTCCATATTGTAGCAAACAAAAAAGGAATTTAAAAAATTAAATATAAATTCCTTAAATTACAGTACAGTCTAAACTAAATCAAACACAGTTACCAAAGTAACTAGAAAATTATACTTCATGTTTTCTAGATATTTAATCCTTTCCATTTAACCCTTTTCTGTGCATATCACAACCTTTTTACAGTCACATTTAAATTATAATTAAACTACTTTATTACTAATGTACAGAAATAACTTTGGCATCAAAACATAGTTAATAAATCAAATTTTAATATTATACAAGTTTTAAGATCTTGGAATATAATGTATATTATCAATTTTAATATAGATATTACTCAGGCAAAGCATAATTTTCTATCGTCTTCAATCTTATTTGTTTATGGAGCCATAAGCTAGAAAATCAGACCCATATGACACCCTCTTTTTCATAAGTTTCCAATAGTTCTCTCTGATGTTTAATACTATATTATTTAAAACCAATAGAAAGCCAAAGTTTTAATCTATCAAATAATGTATTATATTATGTTGTTTTCTGTACAAAGCATTCTCTATTTTGTCATTAAGTTACAAATTCATTCTCACAGGAATCGCATTGACAAGCTCAGCTGCATTTTCAGTCTCTTATCGTATAGTTAGAAAGCCAGAAAAATTATACTACTTATAGAGGATTGTTTACTTTCAATGCATTGTTATTCTGTATTTTTAGGAGTATTGTTTAATTAAATAAAAAAATTATTTAATGCTGTAGTGGTACCATTAGTATAAAAAAGTAGGCTTAAGTTTCATCGACAGTTGACAGTAAAAAACATGAGGACTGAAGAAAGTACTATATTTCTTATTTTTCATGTGTGTATTCGTTATTTATTTATTATTATAAACAATAACTAAAACATAGAAATAAGAAACTTAAAAGGTTAGATAAAGTTTGATTAGGTAAGATAATGAAAAATTATAACAATAAAAACAAACTCTTCATCAGGTATGCTCATGCATTACGTAACTCAAGTTTGCCAAGTGATTTACAATTTGTGTGGTAGGATTATTAGTTAGACATGGTTCAAAAATTAAGTATAAACAGATATGGACTGTTACAAACTTTAAGTTACTTAGGATAAACAATTGTAGTTTCTTGTTACAATCTGCAGTCATTCTAGAAAGAAAACAAAGGTAACTTATATTTTTGTATTTTTTATGGTGGTTACTATGTCAGTCAAATTGACCAAGTCCATATAGAGTTAAGACAGAAAAAATAAAAGGATAAATGTATTTTGTGAAGAAAAAAAAAGTTTGATATTTATTTAGGATGTTTTGGAGATTATACAAATGAAATATGACAATTTTCAGATAAAGAAGAATATTTTTAAATTAAAATACTTCAATAAAAAATTTGATTTTTTTGTGCTCAAAAGTCTTGTAATGTTTAGTGATAGTCTACAAAATCTCATACAGATACATATACATTATCAAAAGTTATAGTTTGACAAATTACATGGTTACTTTGGTGGTTATGAATTAGGTACAATGCTCTCCCATATGGAAAGAATTAACAAGTACAGCATCAATATCTATTTCGATTCCATGGTAATTTTTCTTTAAAAAAGTTGTTTTCATATATCTATCAATTAGCACTGTTTCATAAAAGTATCCATTTTTAAATAGTCCTTTTTGTGACTGTTGACCTTCAATATATTATATTTAGCACATTTTTTTCATAAGTTTAACTCATTTAGCATGACTTTGTTCTAAGTAAATTTTTAAATGCTAAACTTCTTTCTTTTTAAATTCAAATTGTTCCAAAGTACATCAACACTGAAATATGGTATATCTACTGTCTACTTTTTCATGCAGCTATATTTTTTAACATTTTGTATCGACAATTATATTCAGTATTAAAGAAAGCATGAAACTCGAATATATTATATACCTTAACTGTCAAGTTTTCTGCAGAAGCAGCTTGTTCAGTGCTGGCTACAGAGGTTTTACTACGATCAGATGTTGCTTCAAGTAAACTACTCGTAGAACTACTTTTTCGGCTAGTCAACACGCTATTGAATAAAATGGGAATAAAAATCTATTAGCTAATCAAAAAAATAATTTTTTTTTTTTTTTGGTATTACAAACTACTATTAGATTGTTATCAAATTGACTCCCTCTATATTCTTTGGGGAACTTGCTTGAATTTCCAGCCTACTATTCTTCTTGTCTGAGCAAAATCACCTTGAAACCAATTTAGTCAGAAGACACTATTTTAAATTGTTTCAATCTCTTCCCTCACAAGAGCTCTTTGTAGGCAAGTAAAATTATCAGTAGGTAAAAAAAACACACTAACTTTAACCCAACTAACCACAAAAAGCTTAATTTGAACTAAGTTGGACAGAGTTGCTTCATGGATTTTCTTTGACAAATAAATTATCAGTAACTTCTGATCAAAGTAAGCTTACTACACAAACCATAACTAAAAATAACTTTGTAAATGTAGCTAGTTTTTAAATACTAGTCTAACTAAGAGTATGAAATATAATGTAAATCACAACATAAAAAAAAAAACTTACTAACGTTAGAAACCATCAACTATTCTGTTAAGTAAGCTCAATATTATCAGTACTTTTGGCTATAACCCCAAATTGCTATAGTTATTTTGAGATCTTTTCAGCTATAATTACACTTGCTAAAGAACCAAGATAGTTTTCCAAGGTTTACAGATTATCTGAATCCTACTTCTGCTGAAGTTTAACCTTTCACACATATAATTTTTAAATAAAAATAATGAAATGAAGTTCCCCAAGAATTTTGGCACCATTGTAGAAGAAATGGACATAGAAGAAACAGGACAATACAGTAAGTACTTTAGTCAGTTATCTTGATATTTCATTTACAAAAACTTAAATATATTTAAAAACAATATATTAACTATGAGAAGACAGACAATAAAGTGTCACGTCAGCTGTACATGTACAGCTAGCTTACTTTACTTAAGTAGGAAAAGCAACTTTTATCACAGAAAAGAGATAAAAACTAGAGTTCCAAAAACAACTTGTATATTCCATACTGCTTGAAAATGCATAGGGAATTTTGGTAGTTACGAAGTACGAGATATATTAAAAGCTCTTTGGTTGTATAACCAACTCTTATTTAGAACTCCTGACCACAGGAAGAAAATCAATCAGCAACATCTGCCACCTATATAGCTACTCTTAACTGAAAAGCAGTGATTAATTATCACAGTTGTAACACCCACACTTAATGCTGGCCAGTGATACTGAGGTTATGAAACACATATGAGTCAAATATGTGCAAGTAAAGTTCTTAAATCTTACAATACCAAACATTCAAAAAGGGTATAAGCAAACTAAAAATTAAATCATTTAAGTAAACTAAAAATCCATCAAACATAAATAAAAGGCACAAAATTCGAGAAAACAAGGGTATTTTTTTCTTAACCAAACAATTTGGCTTATTCTCTTCACCTCAAACTGTCAGCTTCTAAATTAATCTTACCAGATAAATGAAAAATAATCTGCATAAAATCAAATGAAAGTGCCATTAGTCTTTTGTTTACATTATAAAAAGGGTGTTTCTGAATTATTTAATACACCTACCTAGCTGCTACACTTCCTTTTGCTGAAACTGAATCTGTTGTAATAGTCTTGGCTCCTTTACAGCTTACAGCACGCACTGATGATAACATGCTGGCACTGTTTGAAGAGGACCTTTGAGTAATTGAAGATACAGAGGTGGTCAAACTCACAGGAGTCTCTGGATCATAACTTGGACCAAGTTTCAAATCATACTTTCCCTCTGCACCCATTCGGTAAGAGTTTGAGCCACCATGGTCCCAAGTGACATCTATCCAACCTAGAAGTCACCATAGAAGTTTATTCTAATTTATCAATTGGAAAATTATTATTTATTGAAATATAATTGTTAGCTTTTAAACACATTGAAGCTAACATGCATACAAAATGAATTAGTATAAGAAAAAAAATACAGATCTGTTTTCAGATTCTGCAAGTTTTTGTCTTTCAAGAATACATGTGCTAATTTGATAAATAAGCTAGAATTATTACCCATCAACTTTAATATAAAATCACCAGATCCTAATATGGATACAATGTATATTATTCTGCAATAGCAAGGTAATTTGGAACGAAGTTATATATGGTACAAAAATACATACACACAGTAATGAATATGACATAAAAAAAGGAGGAGAACTTGTTGAATAGCTCTAACAATCTGATTATATTTTTCTACGTACTGAGTGGAAATCCTAAGCTGTATATCATAACTTATTAGGTAATCAATTTCTTTACTACGTCAGGTGTGGGCTATAACCAAACAAATTTCAGTTGGACACTTTTGAATTTTAAAATAAGATTCTAAAAAATGTTGTAAAGATGATGTTGGTGAGTATTTGTACGATAGTATTAAATAACAATGGCAGAACAAATAATAATAATAATAAAAAAATTCACTTTAACCCTATAACAACTATGCCATTTTTAAAACCCTTTCTACATGTTACTGAGTTACATTCAAAATTTATTTAAACCATTTTAATATCAATGTATTTTAATGAAATTATTTTTTATCGAGTGTGTTATAATTCAGTTTTATATTACCTCAATTTTATTCTTTTATTTCAAACATTTTTTATTATAAACATTGCATTGCACTGTATACTGATGATAATAGCTTGAGTTTGTGATATAGTAGAGAAAATGGAAAATGAAATATAAATATACACCTTTAAAAACATCTGATATTCATTTAGAAGGTTCTAGAGACTATGCAAATGAAATGTGAAAACTGTAATATAATAAATAATATTTTTATACTCAAAATGAAAATCACCTTGCAGGTGAACTATTCAAAGCCTGAGTGCAAATAAGTACATTAAATAATGAATTTTTATTACTAGTAGAAAAAAATCAAAATTAAATATTTAATTTTTCTGCAAATACATATTTTGAAGAAAGTTCTTGTCAAATTTCAAACAATTTCATCCACTAGTTTCATTTTTGTAGAGAAATTTCATGAGTTATGTAACCTACTAGCAATCTTTGTTGTGTTTTTATAGTGTTAAATGTTCTATGTAAAATTTATTTCTATAATTCCAGTTCCATACTTGCATAACCCATTGACAAAATACTCTTAAACTATTATAACAAATTTTTTATTTGATATATGAACAACAGCAGAGACTTTGTACAATTTCCATTTATTTTACTTTCATACAATTTTACTAACACAGAATACTAGTTAGTTTAAAATGCTGTATTCTTACTTCATAAATGCTGCTTCTGTGAATTTATAAATTGGCCTTTGTGCTTTACATTTATTATGAAATATGACTTAATAACTATCCAGTTACAAAATAGGTCGATTGGCGAAGTTCATGACCCCAAATTGACCATATTATAGTTTTCCATACCATAACTTATAATATGTTTTGTGTATCTTCATGAAATTTCACAAGCTTTCAGTAATCCTTAACTCATTTGTAGACAAAAAAATCAGAATTTTTAATGAAGTATTTTCACTAAAAATTTCTCCATGAACATATGAAGTAAATGAAGTGTTGACTGCTCCGAGCAAAAAGTGACTTTTATGTTAAGATTAAAAATACTTTTCATCATCAGAAAAATGTCATTCATTTGCATGTAAAACCATCTAAATATATGTAAAACGTTTTTTTTTCCAGTAAAATTTTATATTATCTGTTATTTACTCCACTCTAACTCTATACAAGGTTGGTCAATTACAAAAAAAATTCAAAATAAAGATAAATCACCCATTTTTTCTTTCTAGAATGACTTCAAATTGTATCATGAAACAACATTTGTTTATCCTAAACAGCTTTAAACTCTTTACAGTATACATCTGTTTATACTTAAATTTTATTGTTTTATTGCCCTTTGAACTGTGAACTGTGTCTAATTACTATTGGTACCATTATAAGTTGTTAGTCAATTGGTGAAGTGTAGCTCACATTACACTATCAAATTACATTGGAAGGGTGGTGAATAAATTAAAGAAGGGATGCCTAGAGAAAAAATTTTGTATTTCTCACACTAGGGGAAATTCATGAATTTTTTAATATTGCCTTATAAAATAGCTAGACAGAGAGTTGGATGAAGATGACTAATTTCCATGAGTGTCAACCATTTTTGCTACTCGTCTAGGAACTTCATATGAAAAATTATGCGAACCCCCTGCCCATAGTCCAGCTTCAATCGTATGAGAGAATGATAGATCTTGAGCACAGAACATCTATCTGCTCCCCAAGATGTGGCAGACAGGATGTGGAGGATGTTCAATGCCCTTGTACACTTGACATGAAGCTGCTTAATGTGAGGAAGAAATGGAAGCTTATGACCAAAAATAAGTCCCAGGAACTTTGTCTCAGCCATCATGGGAAGAACACCACCATGAAGATGGAGCTCTGGATCAAAATACAAACCCCACTGGCAACAAAAATGTGTACAAACGGTTTTAGAGGAGAAGAAGGTGAAACCGTTTGCCCTGGTTTACCCAAACAAATGAGTGAGAGCAGTATGAAGCTGCTGCTCAATAAACCTCATGTTTGATGCCCAATAAGAAATGTGGAAATTCTCAACATATAGGCTGTATGCAAAAGTAGGAGGAAATTGTTTAGTGACAGCATTGATCATGTGTGAAGGATCAGGATGGGGTTGAACCCATACGAAATTCGAAACTCAGGTCTAGTAAAAAGTTGTGAATAAAAATGGGTAACAACCCATATCAATAGAGATCACACAAAATGCCAATCTTCCACATAGTGTCAAAAACCTTCTTAAGATCAAAGAAGATAGAAACAAGATGCTCTCTTTCTCATTACACACACACACAAATAGTTCAAAGTTGAACCATTAAAACTAACAAAATATAAAGATATGAAAGCTATCTGTTTTATGTATTCTGTACTTATTTCATGTTAGCAAACTTAAACTGGCTGAAATTTGTTTCTCATATGTTTATATATATTTTTCTAATTTTATAAGTCTCATTAAAATATCAGACAAACACAAATATGAAACTAAAAACTTCAAAAGCAAATTAATAGTAATGTCATCATCTTACCATTATGAAGTTCTCCTGTGATTGTTCCTTCACCAGAAGGATTACCATCTTGATCCCGCCACTTCCAATCAGGGCCTCGTACAACACGAGCTCCAACAATCATGTTCCTAAGCTGTTGTCTTATTAGTCTTCGCTGACGTCTCAAATTAGCTTCAGCTTCTTTAGCTGCTTTTCCTGCAAGCATAGAAACTACTTTTATGCATGTATTTTGTAAATTTCCCCTTTTATGAAACTTCACGATTATCATCACATATTTTTATAACTGTAAGTAAACAAATATGTCCATGAACCTTTTACAGTCTTGTGTATTTAAGAGAACTTTGGTAACAATCTGCCAACAAGCACTTGAAACTACATGTAACTTGTGTATACAAACTATTATAAGACTTTAGAATGGTTGGAAAGCATGTAAAACAAACAACAGCCAAATACTTAGGGAAAAAATAGAAGTCAATTAAAAGATTTCCACTGATGAAATTACTTAAATGCCTATTCCATTTCTTTGTTCATTTCATTAAATTATAGAGATTGAAAACTTAAGACTTAGAATGAACACAAATCTCATACAATCCTTGCAATAGCTAAATTCATACTAATGTGTGTTTGCATGTGTTGGGGTGTATGTTTAATTTTTCCAAATTTCCCATTTTGGGTTTTTACATATAACATTGTTCACTTTCTTTTTAATATTTTAGCACCACTTATAAAATATTTGAGAGGTAAAATTATCAGTAAGAAGATTATTATTTATGAATATTTTATTTGAAATTGTGTATCATAGCAACAAAGGTTCATGAACCGAGTTCTATGTACTTTTTAACCCTATCAGCACGGGTACCCTTTACTGCGTATCTATCAAATTGTGTATTGTATAATATTGTATTTTGAACAGATAACCGTCAATGTCACTTTGAGTAGCAACATCATTCCCATGGGAAAGTTAACGACTAGCTTAAATGAATTTCTAATGGCTCTTGTCGCATAGTTAGAAAGCCAGGAAAATTTTTAGAAGTGAATTTGTCTACTTTTTGCATGTTATTAGTCTATATTCTATGGTGCATTATTTAATTAAATAAAAATTGTTAAGTGCTTAACTATAATCACTAAAAAAAAAATCAGGCATAACTCTCCTCGACAATCGAGGGCAA